GCATATGTCAAATAAAATATGAAACTTGAAACTGCTGACCAAGACTTGGTAAGAGACATGTTTGAGGAAAGGGGGGGGGGGGATCTCTGCGAATGTGCCAACTGTATTGTTCATCTTAGTCCACTTTTTAAATACTTCTTTCACATTCACCAAGTATATAATTCATGTTTGTATCTGCTTGTTTGTAAATGTTGGTAATTCAGTCCGCTCCTCAGAAACCAGAGGTTGCTTTCAAACAATGCTTAGGTCTTGAAGTGCGTTTTTATTCTGCCCCTTAGGTCTAAAAGAGTTCAATAAACATTCTACTCAAATTATCCATGTAGCACAAAAAATGGAAAATGAGTTTCACTTATAAAAAACAACTCAATTTCACCGGTTACCCAAATATAATATCTTTTACTCACTTGTTTATATGGTGAATCCTCTATTCCTCTTTTTTGTGAGTCTGTGTATACCATTTTGTAAAACCATACGTTTTCAACCGTGTGTGTGTGTGTGTGTGTGTGTGTGTACACAAGCTCCATATGTGATAACATTCTCCTATTTCTCATTGTGGAAATATTTATGCCAAGCCCTCATTTGAGCGTGCAGTTCAAACAGACAGGGTCCCGTGTTCTTTCCCCTGTTTCCAGACGCACTCAGCCTCGGGGGGGTCTTCCTGTACAAAACCAAGCATTGTGAGCGAGGCTCTGACCCTCGCCCTTCCCCGTGCTCCGATATATATGTGTTTATATCAAAAACCTGATATCCATTTTCCATCACTCCTCCAGCTCGGAGGTATTTATTTTTAGCAAGCGAGGGACAGTTTCAAGGGAGCTGTGATCTGTAAATAGTTGTGATGCATCACAGGTGTGCCGTCGCCCACAGAGAGGACGCACAGTCTGATGATGTTTGAAGAGAAGAAGATGAAAAGGAGTCAGCGGTCTGCGCACACAGACACTGATTTCCACAACAACAATTTGAAACGTCGCAGAGCAGGACGGCTGCAATAAGTCATGTAAATATTTCAAGTCATTCAACACCAGGCTGATTGTGTTTATATTAATTTCTTCATTATGTGACCACATGTCATGTTTGAGGATATGTTACTCATACTCTCCACCTTCTAACTGCACTGAAAGGAATGCTTTATTATGATAATGATTCAAATGATGATGTGAAACTCCTCTGACTTTAATTCTACCAATTTTCAGCATGAAGTTGTGGATTTCTGTCCAGCAACTCAACTGTCATTGTTTCCAGTTGCAGCAGGCAGCTATATATTCTGATAAACACATTGTGGATAATTAACGAGCTAGCGATGAATATAATGAAACATTAAGCAGCTTAGAAACATAATTAAAAGGACAGTGTGAACTCTACACTTACATTGATCAGGTCAAAGACCAAATTTACTTTGTGGTTGCTCCATTTTGGAGAAAGCATAAAAAACTATTTAAAAAAAACTATGCAAGGAGCCTCTAATGTATATGCTTTAATTCCCTTGACATCGAAAATGATAATCTATATCTACCAATCTTCATCTTATGTTTTTAAATATTTAAAACTTTATTTATTTACCCTCTGCTTGTGTGAGAAGTTGCTCGCTCTCTACATCTAAGCCTTTTTCAATATCTTCTTATACATTTGCACAAATACAGTAGACGTCCTCATGTAATCATACTGTGTCACTGCATTTTCCTCTGTAGTGACATTTTTTATTCAATTAATTATTTGCCTTTTCTATTTAATTACCTTTTTAAGTTTATTTCCATAGTGTTCTCTTGTTATTATTATTATTATTGTTATCTATGTTATTATTATCTGCCGCTGTAATGGGTGAATTTCCCCGTTGTGGGATCAATAAGGTTTATCTTATCATATCTTATCTTAAATGATTATATCAGTGAAAATATTGAAGCATTAAAAACATCTCTGTAGTATGTAGCCAAGTTATCAGAGCTAACCTGTTTTAAATCCAATACAATTGAAGTCAATGGTGAGTTGAGTTGAAATCTTGTTTTAAAAAATTAGAAACATTTTCGTACTTTTCTATTATGAGAGCTCTACAGATGTGGACGTGTGATTGTTTGGCCTCAGCAGAGGTTTGCACTGTGTTCTGGTTTACTTTTTGTAATACCCTATAAATCCCCATGGTGCATTTTATACTGTGCTTTTTACACATCTGAACTGTTCTATGGCGATGACCCAGCAACCAGCTGTATTTAAGGGCCTTACCTTGCAGTGGATGGGGGAACCTGGGAGAACCCTGCAGTCTGCCCACCGTGACATGAGACAGACTCTACAGGAAATATCCACAGAGGGTTTGCTATGTTTTTGAGTAAATGAGTCAGCTATTCTATGCTGTGCAAACTTCATGTTAACTACCCTGACCCGCCCTGGCTGAGGGCAACAGATGTTATGTACATCCAGCGACATTAACAACTGAGCCACGATGCCAAGATGAACAGCAAGAGGCAAATTAACAGCAGCTGTGATAAAGAACACACTGTTCATATAGTAGGTTTGTCTTAGGACATACCAGCCATTCACACTTGGTGCCCTCTATGAGATGGGCAGAGATAGGATCTAACTGGATGGACTTCTTAAAGGGATAGTTCACTGAAAAATGAAAATTCACTCATTATCTACTCACCACGATGCCGATGGAGGGGTGGGTGAAGAGTTTGAGTCGGATTCTGCTGCAACACAGTTTACCCCTGAGACTCCAGGAGTGTTTTCTGGATTAAAACACTTCACCCATCCCTCCACCAGCATAGTGGTGAGTAGATAATGAGTGAATTTTCATTTTTTGGTGAACTGTCCTCTTAACTGCTGCCATGTCCTGACCAAGACGCAGCTGTTGTTAAGGAACAGTTGGGTATTAGTATATTTTACCTGTCACACTATCTAAACCTGTGCATTTAACCCCAAATGACAATTTACCTGTTAATTAATCTCCATATTTTCTTGCATATCTACTGCAAGGTTAAAATATCTAGACAACCTCTTTTCAACCAACCAATCAGAGAACTCCAAGGAAGCCACATCCTGTGATGCTCCAGTGGAGCTCTACACTTTTGAAACAAGCAGAAAGATGGCAGCGTGATAGGACCATACACACATTCACACTGGCAGAGAACTGCAACTCCAGGGAACTAGACTTCTTTTCCACCAAAATTACAAAATTAGCAGCTATACTCCTGGTTAAACATGCGGTTAATTCTTTAAAAAGGGCAATTGAGTCCTGTCCGGTTGCCAGTAGAGGAGTTTGCCTTTTTCCTCTATTCGTCAATTTCAACATCACGAATGCACTGACAACTGAGGCACTTTCTCACCTTGCTGTCTTACCTAATTAGCACGTTGACCCAAGTTTCTTGTTTCCATCACTGCCAATCAGGGCCGACATAGACCAGGGTCTACTGCTACTGTGTCATTTGACCCAGCAGTGAATGTTGATTGCATTCTTTCCCAGACAAAATGCAGAGGTAGACAGGTGTTAGTGAGTTTTTGACTAGTAGACAAAAGGCTACACAGGCACAACAAGGCACTGGAGTGGAAAAGAACAAGAAGGATGTGATACAGATGAAGTAGGTAACAGTGGGTAAAAAACTGGGTCATGATACTAAAAACACCCAGAAACTGTTTCAAACTGTGCGTGTTACAAATACCAGTGCAAATATTCTCGTGACAAAATTGTGTTGGCACAAAAAAAAGGGGGGTATCATATGTGGTCAGACAGTAGAGGGCCCTCTTCTTGTTGTGGAGCAATCTTTGATATGACTCAATGGAGAGACTTTGAGATTTTCTAGTTCAATGCAAACCCACTCTAAGTTTTCCATCATGTTCATCACAGGGAATCATCTTGTCTCTGAAAAAGTATCAGGCTAACAATAGACTCTTTTCTTGTGGAGGTGTGGTTGAGGGCCATGCCAGAGGCTCACCCAGAAAGTTTGGAGCATGAAGTCCCCATTGGACCTGGACCAAAGCTTGTTCTAGATGAAGCTCAGTGGATGAAAGAAATTCAAATGTCCCACAGGCCTCCTTCTGATTCACAGGACTCATATTCTTGCCTTAAAGCTGTGACTAGAGTGCCAGCTTTCCTCCCTCCAGGTCTACACTCACAATCTACAGTCAAGTCATAGCCAGCAGAATGAAACTCACTGTCTTTGTTGTTTCACAAACAAGAAGAAACTCTCTCTGTTAGGCCTATAATAAAGCATTCTAGCATCTAATTTGTCACATAAAGTTTTTACAGTAAGCTCTTCACTTACTCATAAAACACCAAAATCAATTTTTGTTTTGTAAAAATACATTTTTGCCATAATTCTTTTTTACAAGAATTATATATTTCTATTCCTCTTCACTCACTATAATTGACGGACCTGACACCTACAACAATGTTATTTTGTTTTCTGTAAAGATATATTTCTTAAGTCATGACTCCATCTGACTGGAATGTTGCATCTTAAGAAATATCAACACATTTCACTAAAGACCCAGCACGTGGCAAAAGGACGTAGGTGAACTTTGTCCAACTTTCGACCCAGAAACAAAAACATTTGTGGAGCTTCTTCTGCAGTTTTTTTTCTCTCTCTCTTTTCTCTCAAGTATATGGAGAGCAGTGTTGCGGAGAGGACAGAGAACTAAGCAGCGAAAGGGAGGGGGGTGGTCGGCGAGCTTTGGAGGAAATCTGGAACCTATAAACTTGGGCAACTTCTATGACAAGAAGCAAACGTCACAACGGTTCAATTTGGTTGGCTGTAAGGCACACCTTTGTCTCCGCCTCATCACTTTGATCGAACCAATTGCTTAAAATTTGTTCTTCCTGTTGTTTTAAGCTCAGCTGTCCAAAAAAAAGACCTCCGGACCAATCAGTGAGTCAAATGGGAGGGAAGCTGAAAGTTTTACGGTCCCCTCCCTTTAAAAAGTCAGATTCGGGTTGCTGCTGTCTCACATGCAGCTACAGGAGCGGAGCATGAGAGCAGTCCAGTTTGCCGATGCAGTGTATGCGCTGACAGAGAATGAGTAGATGTCGCTGGCAGATTTCCATGCGTGTCGATGAAGAAGCATTGTGGCAATCCAAACCTGAGAGCTGATTACGTTTCCATTTTGACGTGACACGTTTAGATGTGACAAAGTGAGAATCTGACGACTGTTGGAGAAAGTAGAACGACACAGCAGAGGCCCAGAGGAACACAGGAGGTAACGGAGGGAGTTTCTGAAGACTAACGGAGCCAAGAAAACTGTGTGAAAGAAGCAGAGGGGGAGTGGAGAGAAACATACTGAAGAGAAGAGAGAAGCACTGAGATATTCAAAGAAGAAAAACGTGGCCAAGCATGAGAGAGGAGGAGCAGTCTAATGATGACCACCCTGAGGGAGGGTTGGTTTCCAGCAAGGAAAACATGGGTAGACCACCTTCTAACGCATGTCCCGTTGTTGTAGCAACACCAGGGGCCACCGGGCGTAAAAGGCAGACAGGCTCACATCCGGAGGATCACGTCGCCACAGTTGCTCCCACCACAGTTGCTCCCACCACAGTAGTGGATGATAGCAAAGTCAAGCCAGTGGACGAGATCCAGGTCTACACTACTTCTGGACCCAAGAGACTTAAGAAGAGTCCTCTGCACCGGCCACCTTCCTCAGACCCTTCCCTCTCCCCCGTACCCTGTCCTAGTCCTGGAGGCTTCTCAGCCCTCGAGGACACGAACGGCCAGCGAGTGATTGCCAACATCCGGGAGCGCCAGCGGACACAATCTCTGAATGAAGCCTTTGCCTCGTTGCGTAAGATTATCCCCACGCTCCCCTCTGACAAACTGAGCAAGATCCAGACCCTTAAACTGGCATCGCGCTACATTGATTTCCTGTACCAGGTGTTGCAGAGTGATGAGATGGACTCTAAACTAGCTGGATGTAACTACCTTGCACATGAAAGACTGAGCTACGCCTTCTCTGTGTGGAGGATGGAGGGGGCCTGGTCGACCATGTCCGCGGGTCACTAACCCCGCCTGGAAGAGAGATTTGTCCTTTGACTGCTAATACCTAAAACCTCCTCATGTTGGAAATATTGTTACAGACAGCTGACCAGTGGATTCACACTAATAAACTCCTCAACATAGCTGATCTGTTTGCCTCAGTGGAAAGACTATCTGACACCTCAATGAGAAGAGAGTTTGGGAGTTTGAAGCCACTACCCTTTCATGTAAATTGCAGTCACATCCATTGTTGTCAGACCAGATATCTGATGTAAATATGAATTCTTATCATTCATTTGTTAAACCCTACTGCTCATGTGTGTCAGTTTTGGAGAAATGTTCCAAAACAGGGACATTGTGCTCAGTGTGATTCCTAGTATTTTTTGAGGATCTTTTTTTACGACCCTTGTCCTCTGTTTACATCGATCACAGGGGACGACAGGACAGGCGAGAGACAAAAACAGCCGGACTTCATTCTACATTCATTCAGTTCAACCAGCTGCTGGTTAAGGATGCCCTTACCTTAATGTTGCCTAGACATGACAGCACGGCTTGTTCTTCCAGGAGCCCCCCTCCAGACCCCTCAGCTCTCCTGGCTTCCAAAGCTTGACCTCTGGTTTCATCCCCACCTTTTATCACCTGTAACTGCCATCAGTCAACATCATCATCACTACCAGCATCATCACATCATCATCATAGGTATGCATACTCTGAGCCACATTAGATATTTTGTTCATTTTTTTATTTGATTTAATTTCTGCATTGAAGTACTGCACTGGTTTTATGTAATACAGTAAGCGACACATGTAGAGAACACAGGGATGGGATTAGAAGAAAGTCAGAACTGGAAAGACAAAATTTGATGTTTCAGACCTCTGACATTTCCATACCCTTTAAACTCCTACTTTTCCAAGATTCTGACACACTGTGAATCCCTGACCACCTCTGAACCCAAGCGACAGTGGAAAAAGGAGCTGCGGGCGGCTGTCATCCTGACTAAAGTTTCTTCTCTTTTTACCCAAACCAAGCCCCTTTGTTTCTTCCAAAGCCAAAAAAAAGCCTCTCCTCCAGAAATTCTTTCCCCTCATTTTGGCCCAAATTTGCTTGCGTTGCATGAAAGCGTGATACAGCTACAGCGAGCTGACGAGGAGGCGTAATGAAAACAAATGGTCTTAAAAAGCCATGAATCATGCATGTTGCCATCAAAGGGAGAGGCTGATGTGGCTTCCCGCCGTCAAACCACTGGGAGTGATAGAGGAGGTGAGAGCTGACAAAAAAGCAACTAAAAAAAAACAAACTGTTATTTGAGTTGCTGTACCTCTGATTCTGTCCTTGCGTAAGAGATAATGCCAAGCTAACATCACCTGTAACATTCAGCTTTATTTTCACATTAACCTAACCACAAAGTGATAAAGGTTGCCTTGCTGTTTGTACCCAACACATATCCATGACAAACCACTTGTTCCTTCAGTGCCAGTATGCGGCAACCTATCATTAGAATGTGCAGGGAGGTAGCTAATGTTTCCAGCTCCTATAAAGACTCTTGAAGTCTTTTTTTACCGAGCCCCAGCAGTCAGCACAGCGTGGGCTCAGAGGACAAACCCAGAAGTAACTTGACATTTCTAAATAATTCAGTTCTAAAAAAACGGCCCCTAAGCATTTTATAGAGAGGGTTCAATTTCAGTCAAGCATTCGTCAAATTACTGAGACTGGACGAGAACCACATTTGGAAAAACAGTGATTCACTGAAAAAATGAACTGTTGGACCAACTTAAAAATTACTCTACTTGGTGACATGCAAATGTTTTTTAAAACACTTAACTTTAATTTGAAGAAACAGAACTCAATTGTGTGTCCTGAATTTAAGTATTTTTTTAAGCTGCTCACGCTTTTTTCAGTGTTCAGTGAGAAGGAATTTAAGGAATAAAAAATAATGTAACATTTTATTCTGTTATTATCCAATGATGAAATTAATTAAGAAAACTATTTGTCTTCTTCCTTCCATATAACATTGTTATATCATTGCCTCATTAATGTCTTTTGGGAGCAGTAATGTGGGGGAATCTTATTCATACGTCCAACATTAAGTGATATAAACATTAAACTGTGTCCAATGTGACCATCACAAGCTCTTATACAAATATGAATCGTTACCATAGTAACATGTCTGTATTTCTATCTTTCCAGCTGCTGAATAAAGTGACTGATCTTCCTTGTACATCTCTACTCCTTGCTACAATTTCTAATCATGTGGATTTGATGGCAATGGAAACCTTTAGGTACCTCATGTTTGAATTATGGCGAGAGACTGTGTAAGAGACTTAATTGAAGGCATCTTGATCAGGATACAGACTGACATCGGGGCGTTTCTTTTGACCAGCCAAACAATCAAAATCAAACATTTCTGATGAAGCTGGAGCATTTTTGTGTTTCGCTGTTTTTGTTTCATAATATTTTCCCCTATTAAATTGTTCAAAGTGAATTTATACAATTGCTGTCACTGGAAAAAGATTTAACCTGCAGTTAAACCAAGACTTCACCCTCAGACGTTACACTATCGTGTGTTCATCTCCTGTGAATCAGTTTACAGAGGGTGATTGTGTGGCTTTGTGTTGCATTTACTTGAAGTATGTACAGTGTGGTGCTCTATGTGAAATGAACAACACACTTTGACTGGTTATAAACAAGTGATACAAAAAGGACACGTATCATTATTAATCCAAGAAAATAAAACTGTCTTCAAACTATTGCTGACGTTCCTGTTGTTGCTGAAACTGGCCGAGGAACAGCGCAGAGATTTACTGTTTGTCCTGCTGGCACCACACCCTCTTTGTCTCCTGTCTCACTTGTTAAACTGTCTCTCTTGTTTTCCCTTCCTTCCTCCTTCCCCCGCTCTCTCTCTCTCTGTCTCTCTCTCTCTCCCTCGCTCATTTTTTAATGAGGTCTCTCTGTGCCTTTGCCTGGTCAGTCAAGGACAGTTAATTCCTCCAAAAAACAACATGTTAATGTGCAATTAAGGACTCAAGGAATATTTATAGCCTGTATGGACTTACCCTCTAAGTTGTAACTTGATCCTATTCCAGTTGTGTATCCTGGTGCTTGAAATCATTAATACTTTGTGCAAGACTGGACAAAAACACTAAAAAGAGAAACAGCATGGCTGAACTAAACTGATCAGTAACTTGCTTTTGTAATTCAGTATCACCAAATGTTGGCCATATTACATTATATCAAACCATTAAAAATAAAAACTCCTGGCAGTGAAGTGACTGGTCATCCCACATCTATCATAACACCTAATAAACAACACACAAACTGTGTCCAAATTCAGGGGCCGGCTTCTTCAGAGGATGCGGCCTACATGGCCCACAAAGACCAAGCGGAAATTAAATGGTTTGTTCTGCGGAGGATTTTTGTGATAGGCGTCAGCAGCGTGTCACGCCCTTACTGCTGTCGCCTAGCAACAGCTGCAGTTGGATATGATAAAAGTGTGATACTGACGTCTTGTTGCTTACTGGTGCCATGACCTCTTTGAAAAACAGTTAGTCATCAAAGCACAGTGAATTCTGGGATAGGTTGACCTGAGGAGGATCTGCCTGTTGGAGCTTTCATTTCATGACATGGAAGGACCCATTGTGGGCTGAATTTGGATGAGCATTCAAATTGGAAAGCCTGGTTGCACCGCTGTGATGCAATCCTCCTTTAAAAGCACCCTCCGAAGGATACAACCCCTGAATTGAGACACAGCTGCTGTCTCTTCAGCCCACGGATTTCTGTACCAAGCTTCCTTGATGTATTTAATCCTCAGTGTAAATGAAGAAACAAAGGTAGTCTCTCACAGATCAGAAGGCAAAGAAGAGATTTGATATATTTAAGTATTGGCAGGGCTTGAAAAAATTATTAAAATGACATTCAACATTTAGCTGCACGTTACATTCAAGTTATGTGGTTATCTGCCTTGATTTTAATGCAGCTGCACACTAAAGGATAATCTGGCAGATTTTAGCCTCTATAATCTTAATGCAATTGAGTTAGAGCCTTCACAATCTCAAACATCAAACATGTTTGATATAATTTGCTTCATGACCTGACCAGGAAGCGTCACAAACTGGATGTAGCATACTTATACAGCAGTGGCTAAAAACAAAAATACATTTCCAACTCACCTCCAGCTCACGTTGCAAAATGTATACGCCTTCTCAGCCTTGATTTAATCCATATTTGTTTAAACTGAAGAAGCATTAGACTATCACAGGTTTTTGTGAGATTCCAAGTATCTGGAATTGCCACTGTGAACGTGTTTCCTTCAAAAGACAAGTGTGTGGTCTGACATTCTGGTGTTCTGACGATTCAATTATTACAAACCTGTTAAATCTGTCATTTTGTCGAGAGCTGAAACTCCAGTGTGCAGCAGGCTTTATCAAACACTGACTTGTAGCAGATCGAAGGACTGGTGAGTTTTCAGTCAAGGCTCTGTTCAAACTCGCAGGTGTTTCCAGTTGTTCTGATCAGATGTCTGCAGATTCAAGTTAGGAAGGGAATCAAATCCACGCATCTCTCAGCTCCTTGTGCATGAAAGAACCAAGCCGTCCTGTCCAACAAAATTAACTGTAGAATAATCCAGACGTCAATCAGTTTTTATTTATTTATTTTTCAGATTCAGGACAAATGTTTTAGAGCTGAAGTGCTGCGCATGGCTCAAAGTGTGTGATGGGAATAATTTAACAGTGAAATCAAATTCTGCCAACAAACCCTCACTGTTTTATTTTGATTGAGTTCAACGGAGTCAAATGACACATTGATTAAGAGAAGCTTTAGTTCACTGACCTGTGGAGCTGCTTGTTCTGTGGATCCTGGCTTTCTGCAGGTGACTGATTAGAAAGCTGATCACACAGAGACGTCACATCTGGGATAAATGTCACATCCAAGAATTCACGTCATCTCAAGATGGACGGACTGCTTACAGAGCACTGCAGTGATTAAACCATATCAAAAACAGATTATAGCAGTGACCACAAAGGTTTATGGCTGAATCCTGTCTGCACCTATTTAGTCATCATGTCTACACACAGCACAGAAATGGAAGGTTTATAATTGAGATGCTTGGATGACTAACATTGAGTTCAATTGCCCTGAACTGATATTGACTCTGTCTGACGTTTGTTATCTACAATATATTTATTTAATTTTCAGACATTTCTGCATTAAAGTCTCAAAGTTAGGATGTGTGTCATCTTTAACTTCAGGAGGAGCAGCTAACATAAGCGCAAGGATGTGTAGTTTTGCTGCTTTTATCGTTTGCATTGTTTTCATTTACAGAATAAAATGGTGAGTTGTGGTTCTGTGGAGTGCCCTCTAGTGATCTGGTAATATTCTCTTTTTTTTCTTGTTATTGCTAACATAAAATCGAATCCATTGAGAAAGTCACTGCTCGTATGCACAAGTTACATGCAAATCATTTCACATTCTGATACTTGGACAATGAAATACACAAAATTGGCTCATACAAGAAGTTATTTCTTTTAATCGAGAGTAAAGAGAAAAATAACAGTACAAAATAGAGAATCTTTCTATACATACACATGGCAGGAAATGTGAAAGAAAAATAACATGTAACAGGTAAATAATAAAGAATAGTATGAAACAAAGATTTCAATGTCATGTTCATAGATACAGAGTAAGTCCAGTTAGTTAAGAGTTACCAATACACACACTACTGAATGCATCAAGGCACATGTGTGACATGTGTATTTTGGTCTTGAAGTTTCTATTTACAGTGTCTTTCTTTAAGAAGAAGGTACACATGACATCATTAATAAAGGGAATTAAGAGTTGAGGCGACAGTGGCCTCTACATGGACAAAGACGGGGAATATAATACAGGAGGTCACTTACAGTATTAACAGGCACACAAACATAAACACAGACTAACACTTGTGGATGCAAACTCAAAACACATGATAGAAGTTTACATATATACTAGTGCACGTACAATCAGACACTCTTTTTCTCTCTCTCTCTCACACACACACACACTCTCGTCGACGTGGACATTTACTTCATAGACACTACAGGCACCTGCTAGGCACGCTGTGTAAGACTGACACAGCATATTGTTACTGTCACTTGTTAACAACACTATGGACAAAATGAAAAGAGTGACACACTTGTTTCGGTTGCACTGCTTTAAAGAACATCAATCCTCCTTGATAGCTCCGACTGTCATGGAGCAGTGGTATCAGAGGCCCTGTGGTCATTTTGTCCAATGTAAAAAACTCTGAGACCTTCTGTTGGGCAGACACTGCCCAGGGTCTAATTGAAGCAACGCTACAATCCACTTCCCTACCTGGATGCTGGACTGATAATTATTCCTTCAGCCGTCTACACATTGTCCTGATTTCAGTCGAGATTTTACAAAAGCTGCATTTACATCAAATGGAGTCTCTTTTTATCAAATCTCTGCCAAAATGAGCTGCTTTAAATCAAATAATGGATGTACAAACCACTTTCCGATAGAGAAGTGAGTAAAAAAAAGGATTTCATTAGTCTTAGTTTCATTAGAGAGATTGTTTAGTGTCTACTTAAGAAGCTACTCCAGAAGCTTTAACAACATAAAATTAAAGAAATCTGGAATAAGAATTAAAATTTAGCTAAAAGTCATTATTTTGCAGCTTTAATCTAAAAAAGCCTAAATTGGACCTAATGTGCATCGACACACTTTACTTTGCTGCCTAACAACCTAAGAGACACAATAAACCAAGAAACAGGATGTTGTTAGTTTTAGGATGCAGAGCCCTTCCACGCCCCTACAGCAGGGCAAGTCAGAAAATTCCTCATATCAATGATCAACACGACCGCTACTACAAAGATGCCGGACTGACATGTTTAGCATGGCGTTGTCTATAGAAGTGCAGAAGCTAAGCTGGGTTGTCACATATGGAAAAAAACCCTCACGTTCACATGCAAACAAAACACAAAGCATTAGTTTCCTTAATTAGACTGTGATGAAGCTCCAAATCTAATTTTCTTTTTTAACATAATGAACAGAACATTCAAACGAGGCCATTATCAAAAAGTCTGCATATATGATGTTCACTTAAATCCACAGGTTCAAATGTCGTCTTTTAAAATTAAGAGTCTCTGTGAGAGCACTATCCATGCTGGTCCCTCGAGCTGCTTGCACACACAGTCCTGTTGCCAAGCGCAGAATGATTTAAGGCAGTTTTCTTTGGGTGATGTCCATTAAGTGCATTAACATTATTGCCACTACAGAACAATACAATGGTCCTCAGTGGTGCCACAGTGGAATGAATGCTCCTTTAGTCTCAAATATTAACAATAACATACAGTATTCAATACTAGTGGTACATCAAGAGTTCATCTTTGTATGTGTGTGTGTGTGTGTGTGTGTGTGTGTGTGTGTGTGTAGGTATGTATCAAGTGTGTGAGTGTGTAAGACACTGAAGACGAGTTAATTTTAAAATCTTGCCTACTTTTCCGATTAACTTCATAGGAACTACAGCTGTACAGTATTTCGGCCGATGCGTGTCCTAAGAATGAGTAACAGGCTTCATAAGACATCTCATGACGAGTGGGAAAAAAAATAATAGCAAACACCATTTCATCCAGATCTTCCAAAAAAAAAAAACATTAAATAACCTAGAGAGAGGAGTTGTTGTTCTTTTCCCCAGAGCTTTGGAATTTCTTATGGTTCACATTATGGAATGAACAGTGCAATTTAACAACAAGGACATTTGCCCTTTTCTTTGTTTCTACAAAAACCACAGTGGTCCACTTTGTGTCTTCATTTTCTCTATTTCCCTCGACTTCTTTTATCTTCTTTTAGTGGTTATGACATCATTTAAACAGACCATTTCTGTCCTTTTACGTTCTCTTTTGTTTCATGTGGTCACTTTTCATGTTGATATTTTTTTTGATATCTTATCCATTAGGCGTGTATGTGTGTGTACTGGTGATGTGCTTATTGCCGTCAGACCCGCGGACTCGTGGTCGATCTGCAGGTCTGGTGGATCGGTTCGTAAAATGAAAATATCTGATTAACAGTGGTTGGGTTTGATTTGGTGAAATGGGCCAATTGGACGAGTCATCAGAGAACAATTTGCTTTCTTTTTGGGAGAAACAAGGCCGCTCATGCCCACGGCTGCAGCACCTTGCAAAATAAATCTTGTGCATTCCTGCAACAAACACTGCGAGTTCAGCGCAGCCGGGTGCATCATTGAGGTGAGGCGGACTCACCAAAATCATGGCACAGTGGATGCTATTTTATTTTTGGAATGGTCATGTGGTTGCAGATCTCTACATTGGAGAATATATTTCCTTTGGGTGGGTGATGGGTGGATGAGTCAAGCATACATGCAGATTAGGACGTCAGAGCCGATCCGTGCATCTCTAATGTATACACTTCATGATTTCACCTGATGTCAAACAGTAGGTACGTTCTGCGTCAGCTGTTTTGGATCCCATTTGGTTGACAGCTGCTTCTGATACGTGAGGCCACGTGGCACAAGAGAAAAAATGTTAGAATCCAAAGTCGTCTCCTTCTGAAAACAGTTGTTGGTCCTTTCGTTAAGGCAAAGTTAAGGCACCCAATCAGCTGCTGGTAAATAGTGCTTCAAGAAGAATCAGAGCTGGACTCTGGATTCTGTCACTTCCTGTAAGGTTTGAGGTCACAGAGCTCAGACCTCTGAACGTACAAACAGTCCAATGTTAGTCAGGAGACATGAAAAGTCCATAAAAACTCATGTGTATTGCTCTTTGGTGAGGTTTCAGAAGGTTTCCCAGCTGCATGTTGAGCTGCTGGCTTCATCTGAGCGGTTACCAGCATTGAGGTGTTCACGTGGCAGATCCGTAGAGGTTCAGCATTGAGAGTCAGTGGATGTGCATGTGTGTGTGAATAAGGCGGATGGGGCTCAGTGGCATTACAAAGGCGCCCCACTTCATGGTAATGTGACAGCGCAAGAGATCCGAGGCGATGAGTTGGGCCCAACTCCTTAAAGCGAGTTCTGTGAGGTGATTGGTCAGATTCTTCTACATGGAGTCGCAGTCGTGCTCCATTGGCTCATCAGGGACGCTGGAAAATAACGTGAAAAATAGACGTGAGTGGAGAGTTGGTGCAAGCATTAAGCATGCATGTGTGTGTGTGTGTGTGTGTGTTATGTACCTCTTGTTGGAGAGGACTCCCACAGAGAGCGAGGCCAAAGCATTGACAGCATCTGTTTCCTCACAGTCTCTTGTCTGAGCAGCCAGGTGGGACAGACCCACTGATCCACTGTTAGCCTTCACACTCTGCCAGTACTGACCTGTACAAACCCACACAGGTCACACATAGTCTAAGCCAGGGGAGCGATAGATTACAGCAGTTTCATTGACGATAACAACGATGGAAATTACTTCGAAGGAGGAAGGAGAAAGGGCAATCCTGGCAAGTTTGTCGGATTTATTGGATTAAGTTAAAATGGTATGAAGGCGGCAAAGGAGGAGAAGAAACTCAGTTCATTTCTGACAACAAAACAGAATAAATAATAGTGCTGCTCACTTTGTATCTGTATGACAGTCTGCAGCGAGTGGACTGCGTTAGCGTTGGGCTTCTGAAGAAGGACTTCTTCTGACAGTGGCTCCTATAGGACAGAGAGGGAGTCATGGTTTCAATCGTTAAATGGTTAGTGACTAAAGAGATGTAACAGATTTACATGATTATTGTTACGAGGAACAACTTTCTACCGAAACTGTAAGTTTACTGAATCCACAGATGTTAGTAAAACATTTTATTAAATATGCTACATCATACTACAGGCTCCATGAATTTGTGTTTGTATGCTAAGTTTTCTTTCTTTCTTTGTCACAGATGATCTTGGATCAGTCACTTAAAAACAACTCCATTACCCAGCATGCCTTACCTGTATGCCCAGGAGTGCACTGACACAGGCTTCAGATGCGTCACAGATAGCTGTAAGGTCGTGACCTCCCTCGAGGGCCAAAATCAGACGACCCCCTGCTAGAGACATCAGCTGGCGGGTCAGGAAACTGAAACCTGAGGTGCACAAAGGTCCACATACAAAGTATGAAAAGCCAGAAATAAAGCTTGGCTGGCAGGTACAGGTGCAATGTTGACACCACACATTGCAAAAAAGTCGCTTTAATTACAGTAATAATAACATCCACAGGAGAATCAAGTTTTATTTCCATCTGTTGCTAAAAATTAGACCTTGATGTTGGGACTGCTATGCTCACATTTAGAGGAGACCTTGTACCCTCCCAGAGGAGCCGGGTTTCCCTCAGCAGCATCAAATCCAGCTGACACCAGCACGACGTCCGGGGAGAACTCCTGAGCGATGGGCATCACCACAGACCTGCAGACACACAAACACAGACCACTGTCACTTAAACAGACCATAAAGAGACGTCTGTGTTGATGCAGTTCCTACTGGTTACCAATAGAGGTATGATACAAGTCATATATTCCACAACAAAGGTAACGCAATTGTTATTCAACTTTACTTTTTTACTTTTAAAATAAGTGGTGATCATTGAAGATTTTGTTATTTTGCCATGCACCGGTTTGAGAAGTCTCCTTGTTGTAACATCCAACCAGTGTTTATTAACTCTTTAAGAAGGTTAGAAATGCACAAAAATCCAATCTTTGAAACTGTGTATTTCTGTCCTTTGTCCAGATATGTGCACATTTGAGCCTCAATTATACAGAACAGCTGCTACAAGAACAGACAGGAAACAGGGTTTTTTTCTGTGCAGTCACAGGAAAACCAATCGTAGAATAATAAGACTCAGAAATCTTTCATGAAATCTGGATTCTGAGATTTGAAATGTCAGCGCCACCAGTTCAAAATACAGAAATCATCTATGTTTATTTATTCATTTTAGAGTCAGGCTGATTTTCAGCCTCATTGTCAGAGGACTCATCGGACAGTGATGAATTTGAACATGTCAGTGTGAGGTGATTTTAACAAGTACATGTCTTCAGTCTCACTGTGTATGTCCAGCTTAAGGTTTCACTGAGTGGAGTTGTTTTGACACCCTAATAAACAACAGCATTAAATCACTAAATGCATGAGAAAATGCATTTGTGTTGGAATGAACAAATCACATAAAGAGAATTTAAAAAAAGAGCTAACTTAACCAAACAGAGGTGAAAACATGACAATGATCTTTCACAGTCTGACTTGTTGCCCACATCTCAGTTGATTCACAGCTTAATAAATCACTTTTCATCACTGTGTTCATGAACACTGTCCCTAATATTCAGTAAATAGCAGCTGTTTATTTGGGCATTTCAAAACCGGACCATCTCCCTGACGTGACAAATATTAATGATCAAGTCTAAAATGATCATTTACATGAAAAGTGAAACAAGGGTTCGGCTGATCCCAGACTCAGCAGCCTGGGCAGAGCTGACAAAGGACCATTGTTCCTCTCGTGCGTCTGCAGCAGAGCCTGTGTGACAAAGTCATATTGTTTTGTCAGCTCTCGTAGCTGCACAGTGTTATTTGTAAACTTCAAACACGTGAACATTTCCTTAATGCTATTGTTGTTCAGAAGAGAGCTGAGCTGTCCCGAGGTGGAAAGAGGCTCAACTCTGCTGCTCGATGCTGTCGGCGAGTTCAAAGTCGGAGTGTGCGAGTCTGTTTCCCATTAGAGGCTTGTCACTCGCCTCACGTCATTGACAACACAGAGAAAAGAGGAAAAACTGCCCATCTGGGATCCATTTAACTTCATTATTCTGCCTGGGGACTTTGGAGACCTCCCTCCCCTTCATACACACCACACCAACACACACGCACATATTCAAACACATACTGCTGTCATGACTGCATGCAGATGGACAACATGAGCTCACACACAGAAATGAGCGCACGTACGTAAAACACTAACGCACTTCCAGCACATACAAAGACAAAGACGGCACACGGATGACATTTCATGCACATACTGACACAAACACATGACGCGGAAGTGGTTTTACTGTGTAACACTTTTACAATGCTGTGTGTTGCATGCTGGGGTTGTATTACGCTTTAATTGGTTGAATAATTACGATCCATTAAGGAGACCTAAACTTCATCATAAACATGCGGATATGAAGCAGAGCATGCACAAACTCATCACACACATACACGCACACACACACACACACACACACATACCTTACCACAAAACCCAACCCCACCTCTCCTGTAGACCCATTAAAACTCCTGCGCTCCCCCCAGACAGTAACTACAGACAAACTAATGGAAAGATGGAGGGAAGGAGGGAAGGTGGAGGAAAAGGGGGGCACTTATTAAAGATCAATCACATGAGGAGAAGTAGAGTGGGGAGAACCTGTGTGTGTGTGTGTGTGTCTACGGTGGTGAGGGTCAGGGGGGTGGAAAAGAAAGGGGGGAGTGAGTGTGAAGGATAAGGTGAAAAAGCACCAAAGCTCCCCCTCTGAAGTTGCAGCACTCAGACTTTACCCATAAACCTCTTCTTCTACTCTTTACCTCAGACTTGCAAACTTTACCAATTACAAAGAGATGCAGGATACGTAAGTGACTGCATGAAATGTTTCAGTTGTTAGAGCCGCATTTCACAGGATATTCATAAAACCTAAGAAATGTTCCTTGAAAAAATAAAAAGCTCCAAATATTACCAGCTCTTGCTTCTCAGTGAGTACAGTGCAGTTATTTAATTTCTTGGCACATTCACTCCGATCATCATGTAATAACTATCATGGCCCAACAGTCTCCTTGTGAATCTACATTTAAATTCACTAGTCTAGATTCTAATTTGGATCTGCTTATAAATATCAGTCCCCTAAACATGCCTGATTTTTTTCATTAAGATTTAAGAACTCCCTATCTCGCGATGTTAAAGTGAAAAATAATTTCCTGATGCACCCCCTGATCCAAATCAGTACCAAAGTTTAATGGGAACTTCATTATCAGAAATAATCTCACATTTAGAATCATAATTTCTGATTTACTGTTTAACACATTACTTAATTTGGGAAGATTAAGCACAAGTATCAAAGTATGAAAACACTTGAAGAGTTTTCATTGTACACATCCTAATGTGTATGGAGAAGAAAGCAGCCAAACTACTGCTGATAGAAACAACTGCTTTGAATTTCCCCACTATTATTATTTACTAAATTTGATTTGTTAACTGATCTGGCATCCTGGTGGCTTCTGCATCTATATGCAATGTTCAATGTTCAATGTTCACTTTGTTGCAAGCCATCCTCTGTCTGAATACACTTTTTTTTTCTCCTGCCTCATTTTATAATTGCTAATAGTGACCAGTGGCAGAAATAGATTCTAGAGAGATCTACTAAAAACAAAAATTTTAAATTATTCTCTATAATTAAGTGGACAATCATCTGGAAATATTTCTCTCATCATCTCATCATCTGGAGCTACAGGCAGACTGACACAAATCAAATGATTGCTGAGAACTTCTATTAGGTCCAGATCTGAAGACAAGGCCATACAAGTGGCATTATGTAATTATGTTGGCCCCATTGAACATGAGGAGGAACATCCATCTTGATTCTGGGAGAATGGTTCAACTCAATTTTGTAATTTGATCCTTTGTTTTAAACTTTGACAAAACAGAAGCGCTTAAACATCCAAACGCTAAAGACGGTCTGTCACATGAAAACAAGAGACTGCAGCCAGCATTGCATCGTTCAGTGCACACACAACTTCTCCTGTGCAAACAGGGAGGGACACATTCTAAATAATAAGCAGATGGATGTGAAAGCATCAAATATCGAGCAGTTCCAAGCTGCAGTTTTTTTCAGACTCCAGAAGGAGGGCACCATTATTAAAAGATTACATCTAAATCAAATATCTGGTTGTAAAACTTTTCTCCGTCAAAGTGGCACAATCACTGTCAATGGAACAAAATACCATGCAATATCATTATACCACCTTCTGGACTACCATGATATAAAATGCAATATTCATACTGCACACACGACATCCTGGGCCAGACGAACATGTTCTCTTACTAACCTACATGTTGAACACAGACACATCTCGAGTGTCGGGTTTCATGTCACTGCCCTGGAGGTGAACTGCTCCCTCTCAAAAATACTGGGTGCACAAACCCACACCTTCAAATTATTCTCATGGGTAAATCTGTCTTTCTGTTCTCTGCTCCAAAAACAAAGGTCAGAGGTCAGGATTAAACTACAAGGGCAGCCTCCTTTGGCACTGCAGCCTTTGCCTTTTTATTTATCTACTAAATCCTGAATCATTCTGTATGAGGAACTGTTCATCTCCACACTTGGCATGTGTATTGTTGAGAACCCAAAAAAGTGCATTGTTGAATTTGATGTGAATTGGACACACTCCAGTCGTCCGCAGCATAGACTAATCATCGATCAAAGTCGAGTCAAGTTTCACTGAACTTTGAATAAACAGGTGAACAGCTCTTTATGCAGCAGCAGTGCTGCAGCTTCAGGGTCCCGCTGCAGGTCTCTACTTACAATTACTCTGAATTTTACAGTTTCAGAAGGACAGGTCATGCAGACGGCCCATTCCAAACATGCAGGTTTAAAACGGCCACTGTATCTAAATATTAATGAAGTAAATTCAATCTTGTGTATCAGCAATGACAGGAACTTAATGCACTGAGGCAGACCATTGCTGTCTGGGCCTGTGTCGTTATTATGTCAGTTCGCTAATGTTCGGATCACAGCCCACCCACCTGATGGGCGCATGTGTGTGAGTGCGTGTTTGACTTTGTGTGTTTGTGCTGCATATAAACATATGCATGCTTGTGTGAATGGGCACAGGTTCCCCCCTGTTATGTCTGCGACTTTGCCACTGTTCCCCTTTTCCAGTAACCGTGTGGTTACGGCAGTTTCCTTTGGGTTTGCTGCACCAGACAACCAAAAAGCCCACACTACTGAAACTTTACTGGTGCCAAACACCCACCGACAACAATTACCCAACCCACGAGCAGGAAGTAACAGGCTGTAGTCTGTCAAACATGGATGTTATTTGCTGTAAAGCATCTGAAGTTACTGGAAACAGGCATCGGCAGACACATGCTCTCCAAATGACAAGGATTATTAACTACGCAAGAAGTACGTCAGAGGCGATGTGAGGCCGAGCTTCTGATCAGCTTCAGTGTGTTTGTTGTGGCTCAGTGTAAAGGAAGTGAGAGGGGTTGTCTGATTACAGCCCCACTTAATGTCCTTATCCTGATCAATAAAACAGCTGGTGGCAAAACTATGGCTTTTTTGTTTTTTTGCCAATTCAACCAGATTTCCCATCCCAGACACAAATTAAACCCAGAAGGACAGAAAAACGATTTGCATTCCTCGTGTCCTGGTCTTAATTTGTGAGCATGCTGATACAATGACAACAGAAAGATCTACTGTGGCTCATTGTCTCTGCACCATGACAACGTTTTATGTCCAGATCTTAATGAAAAAAACCTGCGGTAACAAATACATACATATTTCACAGAATATCAACCAACTTTAAAAACTCCTCTCAAAATATGTTCAAGGAGGCCTTTTCCCTTTAAATGTAGTGGATCGGAGAACTTCCACATCTCTACAACTTAACGATGGGCGACAAAATAACGAGAAAATGTGAATAAGCGAAAGCAGATGCCTCCATAAAGGACACATGGGGTCAGTGAAGGCTTTGATGAGTATTAAATGTATATGAATCATATGCTATATCCCTCACAGTAATCAGATCTCTGCCAAACCTATGATCTATGGGAGATTTTGGAACATTATGGGATGTTGTTGGTCCCTGCGGTGTACAGCGCTCCCACAGACATGGAGGATCTGTATGAGGGAGCACTCTAGCTCAGCTCAGACACTTAATGCCAGTTATCCCCCTTTGATTTGTCACTCATCTGTTTATATGTTTTCAGCTTGTGTTAAAAAGTCCTGTGTATGAAACAGAAGCCGGCTCTACCTGAATGCGGCGAGGTACTCAGCATCTCCCATGGGCGGGTCCAGTCCTCCCGTCCACGCCACATTAACATTGAAGCCCTCGCCTGCTCCAGAACCGACCTAAAACCAGAAAAATATCTAGAATTTATTTGAATTCTTGTGATTCACAAAAGGGATACGGAGGAATGTGGATGCTACCCACCTCAGCCGGTGACCCACTGCCAGGAAAGAAGTTCCCGTCGTCGTAGCGATGAAGCGAGATGTAGAGAACGCTGGGGTCGCTGTAGAACACTTCCTGGGTGCCGTTGCCATGGTGAACATCCTAGCAGCAGAATGAAGGAAGCCATATTACTATTAAACTGTACCAATCAGCTCCACAGGATATAATTTCACTTCCACAGACATGCTCACATCAAATACCACATCAAAATAATTAACAACGGTGAAAATACCTGCATGGAGTCAGAGTAAAGAAACCATCTTACCCAGTCAACAATGAGAACCTTGCTGACGCTGAGCTTGTGCTGGAGCTGCTTGGCCGCTATCGCCACTGAATTGAAGTAACAAAAACCCCTGTAGAGACAAACAGTGGATACATATGATTATTAAAAAGTCGTTTTCACTGAGCTCTTCCGTTGAGCATTGATTCTCCATTGTTGCTATGTGAGTGTAATACAGTCATAAAAGGTTGAAAAGCCTCTGTCCCTCTGGTTTGTCTGTAGAGTCAGTCAGTGACTGCGTTTGCATGGACACCAATATCCTAATATTAACCCCATTAAGACAAAATGACACTGACTGTGACAGCATTTTCCTAGTAACTTAACCTGAATAAGATCATATTCAGAATAATTAATTAACAAATTAAGACATGCGGAGTATCACAATCTAAGTCACATTATGTAGACATGTATACATGTATCTTATGATAACGTCCACATTTTGATATCATTTTGGAACATCGACATATGTTAGTTACCAGCTACTTGATGCATGCCCTGGATGTACACAAGATGGAAAAATAAAAAAAAGAGATGGTATACAGTAACATCCTACATCAAACCATTACAGGTTGAGGTTTTAAAACTGGTGCAATAACGTTGGACGTATAAATCAAAAAAAGTATATATCTTTCTTATTTTGTCCCTTTTTCGTAAATATCCTTCAAAGAGAAGCTGCTGACCGTGCAGCACTCTGTGGTCAGGCTGAGCATGTGACACACACACACACACACACACACACACACACACACACACACACACACACACACACTTACATTGGATTGGAGGGGTCTGCGTGATGCCCGGGCGGTCTGACCACAGCAAAGCCGTTCTGTGGAAAGAAAGAACATGCTATTAATCAGTGTGCGACTGGAACTTGACACGCACCGTCACTACAATCTTTAATCTTACTTTTTATACAGTTCAGGAGTTAAACTGAAAAATTTAATTCTTCCTCAAAGGCACAATCCCACTGACGAAATTCAAAACCCACGACGGACAACAACCAATGCTTTTTGGTCTGTGTAAGGTTTGTTTACATCAGTGCAGAGTGTTATGATTACAATCTTCAATCATATGATAGAAAATCCTGGAAATGTATATTGACACAGGTTCCTTCCTGTAGCCTCAACTCCCAGTTCCTCAAAGCAGCAGCACACGGAGCACATTGGTGCCCACGAGCACAACCAGAAGACATGAACCCTCTTTTATTCCTCATGTTCTGAATCTGTTTTATAAATGAATAGATTTTTGGTAAAACGTTCTTTGAATTAGTCAACTTCTTTGCCTCAAAGAGTAAACCCCAGAGCACACACACAGTTCCAGTCATTCATGGTACTTATTGTAAAATAAATATATACAGTGGTAGCAGTGTAGTGGTTGTGTACTACAATGGCTCATCATAGGTTGCTGTTTATTGTTTTGCATTCTCTGCTCCCCTGGTTTTGCCCAATTTTATTGTTTTATTTTAGGGTTGAAATGTTTGGAATGAAGCTGCCGCCTTTGATACGCTTTTAGCCAGTGGTATATTTAAATTTGATTTCATGTTTATCCCAGACTTTTAATCATCGTGAGGAGGAGAGTGAGGAAATGGAGGCATTTTTATAACAGGGAAAACTCTTTCTGAAACCCAGTCATCTTTGAAGTGGGTTGGTGGCCTCTTAAGGCAGAATGAGGCCTCCTTAGCATTTCCAATTCTCTCAGAGGCTAGGAGTTGAAATACAGGAACAAAGCACTGTTAGCTGTGGACACAAGTACTCCAGAATTACTTCACAATGTTTTTAAAATTACTTTTGTCCCACTGCCCAGAGCCTGAAAAGGAGAACTTGTAGGAGTATAACATCATTTTCATGTCTGCAAAAAAAAGATGAGATGTTTACATGTTCCTTGACTACATTTCATCCATTTTTTTGGGGGGTAATGTTCTGTTCCCTCGTCCTGAGTTAATGCTCCTGAACTACTTCACAATCCACTGCCACTTTTTATTGTTTGAGTGCTGGAGCTTGTGTGCAGAGCTTTCTATAAACTTTGTGTTCATCCTACCTGGTTTATCTGCAGTGAAGATTTTACAGGCAATGTTTTTGGTAACATTGGACTTGCTTCATTATTGTTCATGATAAATAAGACGGTTCAAACAGTATGTGTCCCCTTACATACTCTCCTGTGGGGTACACCCTTTGATACACTTATGTAGAAGTATGAGGTGAGATATGACATTAATATTTTTAAGATTAATCTGTAATCATCAGTTTGGATTTTTATTTATACATCATACATTACTTCAATGTGAGGCAGTTAATTCACACAAGATATTCCAACTAGCCTCTTGTTATGAAGTTGACAGAGTAACTTCTGGTTCTTTGACACTGTCGCCTCCTTAGTGCAGAGCGACTGCAGAGTTTAGTTTCTCACCTTCAGTTCTCCTTTGGCCACTCTGCATGCCAGCTCGACAACGCTGCCCGCCGCCATGCGTGCCGCTGTAGAGGTGTGCGACTCATTCCATATTGTGTCATTATCAACCTGTCAATTAACAGACAAATGATGGAGGTTATTAATCTATCCATAAAATTAAATATCAACACATATCCAAAAGTGGGGAACTCTTTACGTGTTAATGCATTTATTGTAACTGGCCAGTATCAGACAGACCTTCACACTGATTCTAAGAATGATTTCCACCTGTACAGAACAGGATGTGAAAAGTGAAGAATTTCTCTGAGGCAAGGATGAACCCAACTTACAGCTGTGACTCGAAAGTGAAAATGTTTCACTCTCTAATGTTGTGGTCAAACCCATACTTTTTCCATTTCCATTGTTTATTAGTTTTTCCTTTCTCTCTGCTGTTTGTTCACGGGCTGGCATTACTGTCCATCTGGCTTGGACAATGAAATTTGAGGCATTTCTTTTATCCTTGGTCGTGGACATATTGTTCTGGTTAGTCTGACTTGTCATGGTCTGACGCGAACTGTCAGGCCAACATTAGCATTTGGCCCAGCCAGCTCTATTTTCCTCTTTCATATCCTGCCTTCCTCACTGTCCTTCTTATGATTCTGTCTTTTGCTCATCTTTTTTGCTTTTCTCTGAAACAATGTCGTCTTTCATGCGTGCATTTATTGTGGTGTGTTGTGTAGCTTTCATTAAGAGCAAAAAAAGTGCGTGTGTGTGTTTCTCTTACCCCTACTCCTCTACATGGCAACATCACAAACATTCTCTGAGAGAGGATTCCTGAGGAAACAGAAATAAGTGTTATTATTCATTCAGGAACATATATATGTATGTAGTTTCACTTTTTAGTATAACAAGTCTATGCTTTGGAGGCTAATGAAGGCATTGGTTGGCCTGACATAATCCCTTGGCACAAGAAAACTATTGTTACGCTATATTCCTCCATCAATTTTCGTATTTTTGTAAACCTAGTGTAGGTCAAGGACATTACTCTGTGGACTAAATGACTCATGAAATAGAGTTCACCTCATCAGTTTCAGACTTTACAAATCCATCACTGTGAGGTGTATACATACCGGCCAGTTTGCGGTTATCCAGCTTGAGTCTGTTGAGAGGATTTGTGCCATAGAGCAACACATGTCGCTCCGTGTGGACTGACTGCAGCTCCTCCAGAGTGGCTTTACGACCACGAATAGTCTGTATAGACACAAAGGTATTAAGTGACTCTCTTATTGTTAATACTTTGATGATGCACAAGGAGAAGCTGTTCTTATCAAAGTTCTGCTCCAAAAGAATCTGTAACTGTAAACTCAAACTTTGTCTTTTTAAATAAATACGATTATTTAATTATTTATAGATTTTTTTATTTAGGATGAAAAATTATTATTTTTTAAAACAAATGATCTGCACATTATACCGTGTGTGTGTGTGTGTGTGTGTGTGTGTGTGTGTGTGTGTGTGTGTGTGTGTGTGTGTGTGTGCGCGCTCATGTTCTACCTCACACTGTCCCCTTAGGCCTCTCTCCTGTAGTCGAGACCAGATGCTCTGTATCCTGCCAGCGTGCTCTGGGTGACTGCTGTTGTCTCCACATGTACACTGGTGCTTCAGCATTTGAGAATCGTACACCAGACCTGCGTGAACATATAGACATTGTCAATTTCTCAGATGAACAGAGCCAGTAAAGCAGCGTTTGCACTTAAAGGTTAAAACACTAACATATGCTCTTTGAAAGTTTTTGGACAAACAGATAGTCCTCTGTTTCTTCTTTTTTATGATCCTAAAGTCAGAAGAGTTGTGAGTGATCGATGGCAACTCTCTCCTTCCTTGACATTTTAAATTGACATTTACCAATTATCTCTGTGCATTAAATATGAATCAAGAACAGTTTTTTTATATTTTTCCAATGTTATTTAATTTATGCATATTCGTTTCTATAGACTGGAGACTTCCTGGAGTGCAACTAGGGGAAATGTCTGTGTGAGGGATTTTTATCTTATCCTCTAAGTCTCAACAACAATATAAATATATATGCATTTACTATCATTTCAAACTACTTATTTGAAAAAAACACTTATATTCTTGCCTTTAAACAAACTATATTAATAATCCACTTTGTAATTTCACATGGGAGCAAGATATCCGACAACATGCATCAAATGCTCCAGCTCAATTCACACCAGGAGGTTGTGGTCATTAAGTCAGGATCTTCACCCCTATAAGCCATATTTGAAGGCTGTATTTGAAATACAATTATTATATGTACCACTTTTAATATTTTATACCCATGTCTGACTCACCAGTGGTGAAGCGTGGTTTGCTGCTGGTGTCTTGTGGAGCCAGGCTCAGGGTCTTCTCAGGCAGAGTGAGAGAGGTGGAGGCTGGGGATGACTGTGTCCGTGACAGGGGGCGATGGACGCCCAGCCCGCTACCAACCCCACTGCCGCCGCGTAGCATGGGCACTGCCAGGGTCTCCATCTGTCGATGCAGCTGCTGCAGCTGCTTCTGCTGCTCCCATAGCAACGACTACAGGAAGAGTTGGGGTGATGAGGATGAAATATATTGACATTATGGATGAATTCAAAATAAATATAATGAACAAAACAGAAGTGCATAGAACTTTTGATAACATATGTCAATATTACTGCTCATAATAATCATTACAATTTGCAACGTTAATTGTATTGTCAGCTGATATTGTGTGATGGAGGTTGCAGACCTTCCTCCAGCCTAATATCATTAAAACCTCTGAGCAGACTTTATCAAATGTGATGATTTTAATCTGTTTTTTTGATTCTGAACTCTTCTTTAAATATTTTTTTTAATCCTTCTTAATGTTGAAGCCAGACTTTCAGCGGTGTGGTTTGTGTTGTTTACAGCTTTCACATTTTCTGACAAGCTCAGCATGTATATGCACCATATTATCACATCATGCTGAAACGATCACATTAAGGTAATGAATAGTTGTAATAAAAAACCATGAGGCTGCAACTAGAAACATGCAAGTGCAGGTGTTACGCTGCCATCTGCAGGACAAATGTATAAAAGGAGTCATTTACACCTGCTTGCTGTGTGAATCGAGCTCATTTATCAAAGTATACTACGTTCCCAACCTGGTTGAGTATGAGTGCATGCTGCAGATTCAGTTGCTCCTCATGGCTATTGGATGCTGTTGGCTCCGCCTCCCTCAGTGACTCTGCCCGCACTCTGCTCTGATAGGTTGGCTCTGTGGGCGAAATCCCACCCCCGTCCTCTGAGTCCATGTCCTCAGAGGGGATCTGATGCAGTCTGGGCTTCTCGCTGGACTTAGTCATCAGCTGCACATGCACACGGACAAACATGCATGGATTGAAGTTGGCATGAATCACATATGCAGATCAATGTGTGTTTACGCAGATATGGTATTATCTTGTAATAACTTGCTCATTAACATATACAAACAGGAGAATTTAAAAGGTGACCCAGCACATTGCTGACGTAGTGTAGACAGTCTTTACCACTTAAAGACTGATAAGTGAGGGTACTAGAGTATAAATCTGAAGTGCTTGTTAGAAGTAAAATGTTGCTGCGGTCACTTAAATCAAAAATCTGTTTATATAAACTGTAATGATCAAAACTAAGATTGCAGCCTTGAGATTTTCATTTTCTCCTCCTGAAAAAGGATTGTTCAAGTGTCATGTTCACAGTAAACAAAAGGGGTTCTAAGTCTGACTCCATTAGAGGGTTGCCAGGTTAGCTGCTGGATGGATGCACGCACTGAAGGAAATGCTGTGATTCTCAGGAGGAGATTCTCTGGATTAATAAGTAGTGTCTCTTCTATAATTTCTCCTGCACATAATACTTATAATAGATGGAGATAATGACACCCTCAATCAATTTACACGTAACTCTAAATGTGTATAATATGACTGCGTGTTCAAACTGGACTGTGTTGTGACTTTGAGGGATGTGGAATAAGGCAGCAACAATAAGGGAGCTTTCATACCTTGCCGAGGTGGGTCTGCTGTTTGAGCCTCTCAAGTAGTTGTGTGTTATGCTGTTGTTGAAGGAGGTGTGTATGAAGGGTCCTTTGGCTCTGGGGGAGGGGTTCTGAGCGTGTCCGGCTCAGGGGCTTGTGGGGCTGAGAGCCTCCAGGAGACAGGTGGTCTAACTGGGTGGCAAACTGCAGCGGGACAGAGTCTAAGCCTGGAACTGGGGGGAAAAAATCAAATGTGTTACTCTGTGAGAGACAGACAGACAGACATGTAAACACACAAACACATTCAATATTGTTTGGTAAATTTATTGAATAATATCTTAAATTTGATCATTTCTTTAAAGTTCACTTTACATGAGTTTTGACTTTTTTTATTATGCTGTGTTCAAAAGGTAAAGCCACTGAAAAAAAATGCAGCAATGGGTGTGTAGTAAATCAGTCTGAAGTTAATAATATACTAACACAAGTACATCAAAGAACAGAAACAATCTGAATGTAGCCACTGGGTGGTGCTCTATCATTTAATAAAATACAAGGAAAAGCCCTTTCATTGAAAAGCGACTGCTTCCCCAGGTGGTTGAAGTAAATGAATGTAAAGTGTGTGTGTCCATGCGTACATATTTGTGTATTTTGCAGCCTTGTACATTTTTTGATGTGCATCCAAGTCTGAGATGTTAATTGGTTAAAGACAGTCAAAGTAACATTTGTGTTTCATCATGAATGTCTAAAGTGTGTGTGTTTGCCTCACCAGAGAGTAGAGGAGTGTGCACCAGTCCAGAGGGTTCCAGGATGATGACGGGCAGGTGAGGGTGCCCGGCCTGATCCTCTCTGCTCAGGGGGAGGAAGACGGGGGAGACCCCGGCTGTAACCACCGGCAACCGGCCGACCTTCAGAGAAGACAGCTCTCCTTCACCCTGCACACGAACAAGCATCTTTACAACGACAGAAAACACACTCACGTTCCTTTTATCACAGCTCAGTTACCATGGAAACATACAGCAAAGTAGGAGATAAATATAATGTACTGCATGTCCCACAATGTCGAAGAAAAAAAAACAGAATATGCACCGTGCTTCCTTTTTTTGATATACTTCTTATTAAACACAAGGTAGTGACCTGGAACAATTCATTGTCAAATCATGGTATGTTTGTTTTTTAACTTTTACACATCTCTTCAAGCCGTTTAGTCTGAAACTCAGTCACTGGCTATCATACAACATAACAATGTTTCTTAAATGAAGCAGATTGCTGCATTAGTCTCATAAAATATATTGTTAGATTACATCCTGAGATATTTGTATTCTTCCTGCTTAGCATCTTTTATCAACATGCCCACTCAGTCGTATTCTCAAATGGGTTCACTCTGACATTTTCCTGGTATTTTACTAGGGGGCTGGTGAGAAATGTTCCAGAAAATATCCAGAGCAACTGACTTAGACATTTGCCTTCTTACATCCAGCCCCTTTTGGAATAATTCAGGAAAATATCCAGACTTCAGCAGCTCTCAAACTTTTCAGCAGCTCCTCCCACTGGTTTTAGGGATAAAAGACAATGTAAGAATAACCGAGTTGTTGTGACAGACGTGTGGTGCAGCTCAGTGTTTACCCTGGCGTTGGCTGGTAGTCCCAGTGTGATGGTGGGCAGAGTGGAGGGGCTCTGGATGGTGAAGTTAGCCAGAGTGCCGTCTCTGAGCAGCAGCTTCTGGGCCTGGAAATTCCAAACATATTTTCTATTAAAAAAACATTACATTTATTCTCACATCAGAGGAGCTTTCCTCCATCGCTGCTCCGCTCTAGTTACATCATCTGTCTTTGCTGTGTGCTCTTAATATGAGTGAATGTCACATGTAGAGTAACCTAAACCCATGTAGTCTAATTAAACGTGAGCTAATGTTTTGTCCTGAGCTGAATCATGAATCAGACATGTGAGGCAGGTGTGGCAGAGGCTGCTCTGTTCCGACTCTGTGATTAAATTAATTATGCATAAACGGCTGACACTCATTGTTCCTTTACTCTTGTGTCACTGCTTTAAACATGTCATTACTCAAGGACTCAGATCAGCTCATGTACATGAAAGAACCTTTTAATTAGACCGTGTGCTTACTTGTTTAAATGTCTAAGAGGCTAAAAAGTAAGTGCTTCTATTTATCGTTGGTCTTTTATATGTTTCTTACTCTCATAAAACTTCAATGTTATTTCTTTACTTATGTCCCAAATGTAAAAATCTGTTTCAGGTGGAACAAGAATGGCTTCTCTTTACATTACTTCATCAACATTGTGAAGGCGTGTGTGTGAGTTGCATGTGTGTGTGTGTGAGAGTGTGCGTGTGTGTGTGTATGCATGCTGACCTCATGTGAGAGGCCGCCTGCAGATGGCAGTAGTCCATTTTCATTGGGCAGACTGTCATTCGGTGAACTGCAGCCAGAGACTGGAGTACTGCTGCTGCTGGGGGACGAGTCTGGTGAGAGACAGAGACAGACAGTGGGAGAGTGTCAATACAATAATGTCTCTGGACCATAGTCTACTTACAGTCGATTACATTACATCTGTGAAACAATTGTTTAAGCTCCTTTGTTTGACCCAATGAAATGATCACATATCAAATCAGTAGTGTGTTACCAATCCCACTCGTTTGTGTGTGTGTGATCTTACCCAGCGTGTCAGGAACTCTGTGTCTGACAGTGGGCGGGGCACTCTCTTTGCGGGTGAGCGGGCTCTTGCGGGTGTTCAGGTGTTTCTTCAGCTTGTGTTTCACCTTCAGATTGGGCTCAGATGCTGACAATTTAAAACAACAGCAGGAAAGTTATGTTATATGATCGTGTCTAAATGGTTTACTTTATTCTGCTGCAGAGTGTTACTTCCTAACAACGATTTAACATCATTACAACGACTGGTCACAGCAGACATAGACACAAAACTACAGGTATTAACATTAAATATTGTTTGGTTGTATCCATGTCTCCCAGTGAGCCAAGATTAACAAAACAAAAAGCAGACACGCCTGAGATGAAGACACACATTCTGTGACACACACGCAACAATGAAGTGTGGCCAGAGCAGTTATCTCACCAAAGAGTTAAGAGGGGACACAATACATGGCTGACTGTAAAAGACGGGATAATGTCTTTCTTTATTCATTGCAGTTAAATTCTGCAGCTTTAGTTTCAGTAATATAAGATCACTGTTGCCTGAAGTAGTGAGTTGCATTATTGGGTAAATCCATGGTGGTAAAAGATCAGAATATTTCATATCAATGAAGAAAAAAAAAAGAAACAAACAAAGATGATGTTTCACATCCTAATTTATAGTAATTTGTCACTTAATTTTGAATTTCTAATTTTATTATGAGCACCCTAACCAATAAGAATATACTTCTGAGTGTTTTTGTATAAAAGGACAACGGCACAAAATGGTGGCTAAGCTGGTTCGAACCAGTGCCCACTTCGTTTAGATATCATATAGATACACACACACACACACACACACACACACACACACACACACATAGTCTGTCTGCCTGTGTACAAAGTAAAAGTGTTTCCTCTGCAGAGAAGTGTTCTCTCTTATTATCTAAAAAAATAAAACAAACAATCCTACAAAGCTCACACAATAGAGCTCGCTGATAAATTTATAGTTTGTTACGCCCAAAACACACCCATGATTAATTAAGAGACTAAACCCTTTTAAATCCTGCCTGGCACGGCAATCTTTTTTTAGACTATTCAACTCTGTATTTTGACACACCCTCATTGCACCTGCACCATGTACTTAAATTGTTAAAATAGAGCTCAAAGTGTGACGTGATGATGACTTACCTGCTCTGCGGAGTGGCGTCCCTTCTGAACCCTCTGGAGACGGCTGTGACGGTGATGGCACCAGAGGCTGGGAGGACGCACTTGGGTCTGGACCCAGATTTCTGAGGAAACACACAAACACAAATAGATCAAAGTTTACATTAGATTATAAACTTAAAGTGTATTTTGCATGCAGATTGTAGAGTTGACAGGGTATAACTAATACTGCATTCTGTATGAGAGTCTGTATAGGCTCATTTTTATCTGTTTACATGGCAACCTGAAATAAAAGAAAAGGACCTATATTATATTGTTGCAAATATATGTATAAGGCATGTGTATTATACATACCATCCAAGCTAACTGTACAACAAGGTAATGAATTAAACTGGCTGAAAATTAAACAACACAATGCCAGGTATAATACAAAGCTACCAATATGCATGTAAACCATCATGGTCCATCGTAATGGTGTCATTGTAAAGTGTAATGATTGCACATGATCACAAGTTGTTTTTTTAAAGCCATTTCTCTAATTTGCATTTTAAGGTCAGATAATTACTACTGTCAACGAGTAAATGATTTTAGTAGTTTGTTACTATTTGCCCAAACATATTTAGAGTATTGATATTTTCCATGTTTATGTGTGTATTTTGCATCACCTGTAGGCTACAGTGTTGGAGTTCGTTCTCTCCTGCGCCGCCTGTTTCCGCTTCTTAAGAATTACCTCCTGCAATTTCTGTTTTACCAGGGAACTGGCCACCGCGCCTGTCAGTCAAGAGCACAAACCACTGATTAAAAATATAAATGACTCACAAACTGCTTCATCATGAGGAGGAGCGGCCAAGTCAAAAGCACAGGACACAACCAGCCATTGTTGAATATTTGTGCAACACATAATCAGTGACTAATAGTAAATCATATAACAGAGACAGCTCAACCAAACTGTGGTTGAGTTTAATGGCAAACATGTAGTGTGAGAGTATGGATGCTTTTTGTATTTTTTTAGTATGAGACAGGGTGGTCACCAGTTTAAGATTAAGTTTGCTATTTCTGTTTGCATGTGAGAGTGTGTGTGTGTGTGTGTGTGTGTGTGTGTGTGTGTGTGTGTGTATGCACACAGAGGTGATGGGGAGTCAATATTGACCGAGTGACTTTATGTGCACAGACCTACAGCTATATTTGACTCCACTGTTGCAGCTCCACTTGTCCGGTTATATTTAGCTCTCATATCAAAGCAAACAGCCTTGAAAGTCGAGAAACACCGTTGAATAAAGATGAAATAAAGATTTCTCACGGGTACTTTCCTCTCCACCCATGATCAACACTCTGGGCCATAATTATTTTAACAGTCGCAGAAATAATTGAAAATGAAAAAAAAATACAATGATGTGAACAGAGACTTGAAGCAACATGTTAGTGAAGCGGGTGTGTGTGTGTGTGTATGTGTGTGTGTGTGT